CGATAACGTTCCCGAGCCGCCGACTCGTGTCGAATTCCACTCGACCGCTTAGCCTTTCCGCGATCCGCGCGGCCTCCCCGTGGGTCAGCTCGCTCATTTGCTGGGCGACGCTTTCGCTGTTCAGATACTCGAACCCGTCGTCCTCTCTAGTCGCTGGTTCGGTTGTTTCTTCCTCGACCGACTCGTTCCTACCCGGTTGATCGTCTTCTTGAGGAGCAATCTCCGGGTGATCCCCTATCACCCGGGTTGGTGTTTCCCTAGCGCCCTCGGTCCGGAGAACTCGCACACTCGTCGAGGTCTCCTCGCTACCGCTGCCCGAGCTTCCCGAACCGCTCGAGCCCGATCCTGAGGAGTCGCTTGAGCTCGAGGATTCTCGCTGCACGGGGGCTCGCTCGGGAGCTTTCCCCGGTCGTTGAACGACCTCAGGAGAATATGACATAATGTCTATCTCCTCTTCGCCGATTTGCTCGACCGCGTCGTCGTAGTCTGCGACCGAGACATTCTGGCTATCTGAGTCTGACATCTTTTCTACCTAAAGGTCGGTCGGGGTTAGTACAGGGCTCGGGATGTTAGGTCGGAGTTAGTCCTATCCTATTCCTATGCGAAGCTAAAATTAAAAGACGAAGCAAGGGAGTAGAAAACTTACCGATTGAAGGCACTTGAGGAAGAGACTTGAAGTTTGGTTTGCTCGAAGTGGTCTGCTGAACTGTCGCTCGGGACTCTCTGAGGATACCGATCGCTTCAGTAGGGTGAAATAAGTTCAAATGAAATCCTCAGGAGCCTATTTATAGGAAAGCGTTTGGGCGGGAAACCAATCAGCTCGCGTGACGCGACCGTCCCTGATTCCTAGGCGGCCGTTACAGTCGCAGAGGTCCGCAGTCGCCGCCACGTGGCGAGAGAAGGAATGACAGCTGGCCGTCGGTTGGGTAGCCGACGGTTGGGCTTCTTCATCCCGTCCCGTTTTTACCCGGACGGTCAAAAAGGCCCGGGCTGGGGGGCTTTTGGTAGGGAATATCCCGACCGACATAATTTTACTCCGGTTGGTGTGCCTTTGTTTTTGTCTTCTTGTCTTTGCAGGTAACAGGTCGGGCTTCTTGTGAAGAACCCGGTCGGGTTCCGACCGGGAGTTGCCCGAGCGAGAGTGTCGACCACCGAGTGGTAGCCCTTTGGCGAGAGAGCTGACAAGAGACACGTGGCGGCTCCACGCGTTGACAGGCAGGGCACCCGGGACGGCGACACGTGGTGGCTACGTGGGAAGCATGCCGAACGGCCGGATTCGTGTCTCCGGCGCCGCGGCTATAAATACCCGCGATAGCTACAGGGTGAGGGACTTTTGGACGATCAATAGGTTGTTAGAGAATCCCGACCGCAGTCAGTCGGTACTCAGAGCAACCAAGTAGATTGTACTTAGGGCCTTCACCGTGATCAATAAAGATATTTACTTGCTTTAATTGGTCTCGTGATTATTTAATTACTGCGTATGTGGCAATTAGCAGTATCAGAACCATTCTGAAACACCAAATTAACCTGAGAATCCGGAGCCCCTGAATATCGCCGAAAACAGTTGACTCCCGTGTGACCGAAACTTTTACGAATTTGATACGGATCATTATAGCGCCAAAAACAATTGGCTCCCGTGTGACCAAAACGTTTACAAATTTGACATGGATCATCATAGCGCCAAAAACAATTGACTACCGTGTGACCAAAACGTTTACAAATTTGACACGGATCATCATAGCGCCAAAAACAATTGACTCCTGTGTGGCCAAAACCTTTACAGATTTGACACGGATCATCGAAGCCACGTTGCTGACCTCCATGGTAATTAAGGTTGCCACCGCAGCGCTGCACCTTCTTGATTTTATGAATCACAAAACCCTAGCTAACTGATACTAGATGAGAACTAATTGTATTATATTTTCTGAACTTGATTACAATGAGATCAGATGATGTGAATATATACAATAGAGTGTCACAGTGTGATAAGGATAAGAAGTAGAGAGTCACAGTGTGACAATGATAAGAAGTTCTAAACAGACTCAGGTACATAGAGTCCTAATAGTGAGAAGTTGAAAAATGTAAGATTATCTAGAGAAAATTTCAATTTTGGTCATACGATAATAAGGGTTTTGTTAATTTCAGCACTAGATTTTTAAAAAGTGTTAATTTAGTACCTTAATTATGTAATTTTAGTCACTCCGGTCAAATTTCGTCAAAAGTTTTTAATAGTTAAAATAATGAGGGTATTTTGGTCATTCCACACCTCTTTTCTTCTTCTTCGGCGAATCCATATTTTCTACCATTTTTCGGCGAGAACCAGGGTTGAAGCTGTCGCCGTCGCTTCATCCTTGTACATTTTCTTCGAAGCATGCTCAGGGTTCGGCGCATGTCCGATAGTGGCCCAACACCGAACATCGATTAACTTCTTCACGCCGGAGGGGAGCTTGATCTCGCAATACCTGGATGAAGAACTTGGCTCGGTCATGATCTTCGCTACGGTGCCCCATCCTCGGACTAGTTTCGGGCCTTGACTGGGCCGCATCTCGAGGTTGTGAATCAGGGTCCCAATCCGCATCAGCTTCAGCGGCATGGATGACCCTACGTGGGAGCTGACATCGAGAGTGAACGATGAGAGTGTCGAAAACGCCGAAGCCGCATCAGTAAAGATAAATTAACCCTGGTTCTCGCTGGAAAATGGTGGAAAAATGGATTCGTCGGAGAAGAAGAAACGGGGTGTGAAATGACCAAAATACCCTTATTATTTTAACTATTAAAATTTTTCTGCGAAATTTGGCCAACAATTTGGTTGGAGTAACCAAAATTGACAAAAATTGCATAGTTAAAGTACTAAAATGACACTTTTGAAAGTCAGGTGTTGAAATTAACAAAGCCCCTATAGTCATATGACCAAAATTGAAATTTTCTCGATTATCTATATTTGATTTGGATGATGGGAATATATTGTTATATTTTGATGTAAGATGTTGATAATGTAAGATTACTTATATTTGATTTGGATTACGTGAATATATTTTTACATTATTTGGTTAAAAGTTATTCCGTATATTTTAGATTATATGAATCAAGTTACTATAATGTCTTTTCAAAAAAAAAAAAAAAAAAAGAAGTTACTACAATGTCTTTTAAGTGTGAACGTGTAAACGGGTAGTCTAATTATGACGGTTGCTTTTATTAGATCTAATGGTTATAATTTTTTTTGGGTATATTTATTATTTGGCAATTTTTTTTTTTTTTAAGTTGATGCATTTTTGTTATTTGTTGTCATGTTTTCATGATAGTGTTGCGTTTAATTCAAAATTGTCCCTATTTTTTAGCATTGTAGACATATCATTCTTTAGCTCTTCTTCCTCGTCTTCTGGTGACTAGTTTTGGGCTTTTGGCTAGATTGCAGTTTGTGAGATTAGTGGTATCTAATAGCTTCATGTTAGGTTTTTTTTTTTTTTTTTTTTTTTTTTTTGCCCCTTCGTTGTCATTGTTTGCTTTTTTTTTTCTTTTTTTTTTTTTTTGTTTATCTATGTCGTTCGTTAATTTTGTATTTTCGTGTTTGCGTGAAATTGGTTTTCGTGGGGTGGTATTTTGTTATTTTTTTGGACTTTTTTATTGTTATTATTTTTTATTTTCTTGTCTCGATTCGATTGTTGTAATTGGTTTGTCATTCATTGGTGTTTTATTGTGGTGCATAATAGTGTCATGTTTTGTCGAATTGTCCTTTTGTTTATGTTGTGTTTGGATGTGCCTGGAAAATGAAGTCAACGGAAATTATTTTCCATAGACTTGAGAAAATATAACTGTATTGGAGGAAAATGACTTCTGCCAAAATTTGGCGAAAGTCATTTTCTACAGACCAATCTTAGCACTGACAAGTTTGGTTTTCGGCAGAAACCCTAGGTTTGATTTCTGCGCGGGAACTAGAGGTGTTTTTTTAATTTTTAATAAATAACATTATTTATAATATTATTATAAATATTATAAATATTTTAATATTCTAAATAAAACAATTAAAATGTTTAATTATACAAGTCTACTCATTTTTCATAAAATGAACCAGACACACCAATACAGTTTTCATAATGCACCAAAATACTGAAATCTTTGAAACTATTTTCTAAAAAATGATTGATTTTTCATAAAATATTTTCCGGAAGTTATTTTCCTGCTTTCCAACATTCTTGATTAACTCGTAATAAAATTTCTACCAACCTAAAATAATATTTTTCTCTGTCAGTACATACATAATTAATATGAAAATATTAATTTTGTTTTCATTGACATATGTTAGTGTTTATATTTGCATATTGTAGTCTTGTTAAGTCCATTTGTCTGGAGTATGTAATATTGAAGCAGTCTAGTTATGTAAGATGAAGAAAGTGGTGGTTGTAATTCATGGAGACCAATTTTTTTGGAATGATGATAAAGTTCAAGATGAGCTATTAACAAATTCCTTGATTATCTCAACAAAAAAACAAGTGGTTGAGACTTTATTTCTACTATTCATACGTGAAATGACTGTTAGATCAGGGGATTAATTTCTCTAATTTTATGGTGTCCAAAACACTATAAATAAGAAATTATGTAATATAATTAAGGCAAATTGAAGTTTGAAGGAGATACAAATTAATTGAAGGTGCCGTGAAGAAACTTCAAAAATAGAAACAGACTAGAGCTGTGTTGAAATCCACTTGATATTAGTATAAGCTGTCTTGAAATTTAGGTTGGTTATAGTTTGTGTAATTGTCTTGAAATTTAGGTTGGTTACAGTTTGTGTAATTGGTAGAATTAACTCAAATTATATTTGTAGATTTTTTTCACAAAGTTATTTTATAAGGTTAATGTTTAAATAAGTGGTAGATATAATTTTGTAATTCATTGAACCTTGTAATTGTAAAAATAGTGGGTTGATCTTGAGTGAAAATTTTTTTGAGTGTAACCCCGCAGATTATGAGATGTTCTCCAACTGTCGTTATCAAATTCCAGTATTTATTTTAATGCTTTATTTATTAGATTATATTGTGTTTGGTACATTTTAAATCCATAAGTGCATTACATATTTTCATTCTCCACAACTCAAATATATTATTTAAGTCCGTGATAATCATGTCTGAAACTGTGAGCATATAGCCATTAACGTACAATCCAACTATTAGCTTAGGCTTTTAGTTGAGATGGAGTACATGCTTCAATTTGGTATCAGAGCCAGACTAAAGGTCATGGGTTCGAATCTCAACGCCACTCGTAAGCGACAACGGTTTACCGGTCCACGTGTTGGTTGGAATCCACCGTACACGTGAAGGGGCGACAACGGTTTACCGGTCCACGTGTTGGTTGGAATCCACCGTACACGTGAGCATATAGCCATTAACGTGCAATCCAACTATTAGCTTAGGTTTTTAGTTGAGATGGAGCACATGATACCAAATGTTAGATATATTAAATATAATATATTTAATATAATATATATTAAATATAATATAATATATCTATAATATATATTAAATATAATATATCTATATATTATATTTATATATATTGAGAAGAGAGAGAGAGGAATAGATAATTTTATTGATTCAAATTGATGATTTAAAATGGTTAATAACAAGCCTATTTATAGTGAATACAAAACTAGTAAAGCATAAATTTAGGAGATGCATGCTCCATGTATTGTAAAGTCATGACCCACTTACTGCATCCTCAATCTGCATGCATTGCCACAACTCCCACATACTTGGTTTAATTAAATTATAATAATAATATTATTATAACAGAAACCCATAACATAATGAGCGGAGTGGAGAGGTTGAAAGCACATGAGCCGAGAATTTAAAATCTAGCCTAGAACTTGATTAAAACCTTGACGCAATCTGGATTTTTTAAGTACTCTAATGCTTCGTTCGCTTCATGCAGTGAAAATTCTTGACTACTCAATTCATCTAATTTAATTTCCTGCAAGAAATTTTTTAGAAATTAGAAAAACTTTTTATGAAAATAGTAGGATCAAACAAATACTAATTGCGACTATATTTCTGCAGATTTCTGAACATGATCGAATAGATCTTCTTCATATGGCAAAAATTAATAATTATTAATAATAACAGGTAGGCTGATTTTATGGAAAAAGCATACCTTATTTATGCATTTATTTATGATGGAAGGAAGGTCAGATCGAATCCTGACGCCTCCGTAGATAGAGCCCTTCAAAGTCCGACCCATCATTAGGGGAACGTAATTCATTTGCCAATCAATTTGTAGTCCTGCTCCCAGCAGAATCACTGTCCCAAATCCCTACAAATTTTCAATTATATTAATATTAGAAGGGTGGTCTACCCCAACACTTAAGCAATCTTTATATTATGGATCAGAGTTCATAGTACACGATAGACTCTGGTGCATATGTATGTGTCGGCAAGTGATTGGTAAATTAAGAATAGGTTTAAATACCCGCACTGGTTTAGCTCAATGGTTTAGTGGGTAGTATTTGAGAGAAGGGACCAATGTTCAAACTTCAATGGTGACAATGTGAGAATTATGTTCAAAGTGGACAGATTCTTTGTGGACACAACCCAGGTTTATAGGATCAAGAAATAATCATTTCGATCTTTATCTTCTTTCCTTATATTTACTTTAGTTTGAATCTTGCACATTCTTCCAAGGCTGAACCCCAACCCTAAGGGCCCCCCACACCCCTACCCGACAGAGCATTTGGGAGGATGTAAATCATGGTGACTCAACTGAACATGAACCACAGAGGCTAGACCGGTGCTCACTACGCACAAGGAACCCCCTCACTTTGAGAGGTTACTCCCACACTGCCGCCGGTGAGACTCGATCTCTAGTCATTCTTCTTTCCTTATATTTACTTTAGTTTGAATCTTGTACATGTTATATCTAATTAAGCTTTTGGTCCTTAATTAATTATTATGGATTCTATATATTTGCATGTTTTGATACTTGTTATTTAATTATTTATATGATTTGTTATGTGAAAGATTAATTTAATAATAATATTGATGTGTATGCTTATTTGACCTTTATCTCTACATTATTAACTAAATTAAATTTGTTTATTCTTTTGAAATGAAAAGATAAGGAAATGACATCCTTAATTAAAAATTACCTTTCTAGTTGCTTCAATAGCTTGGTTGATCATCAAGTCGGGGACGTCGGTGCACTCGAAAAAGTAATCAACGCCCAGTCCTCCCGTAACTTCTTTCACCATTTCTGAAATTCTTTTATCCTCACAATTCTTCTTTGCATTTATGAACTCTGTCACGCCAAAAACCCTTCCCTTTTCTTCCTTCTTATCGTGAATGTCAATTCCAATTATTTTCGCCGCTCCTAGTTCTCTTGCTCCCTCTACCACCTGCAATTTTTTTTTTTCTTTTAATTCCGGAAAAAAGTTCAAAAGCTTGATGCTTTATTTCGTAAATAGTTGTTAGCTGATTGAGTTAATGGGTTTTAGTAGTTAATAATGTGAGTTCATTGTAAAAAGATGTTTGATAAATTAACTATTAGCTGATAGTTGACTACATGCAAAATGACTTTTTTTAAAAGCTTATCAAAAAATAGTTTTTTGAATTTTAGTATTTTGGAACAATAAACTGTTACAAGAAGCTAATTAATCACACACTTTGAATGTTTAATCAAGTCAAACAGCTAATAGTGATTAAATAAGTTAAAATTAATTAATAAGCTAACTATGTTATCAAACATGACATAACTTATTTTAAGTTACAAATAACTATAAGCTTTGTTTGGTAAAATACAATGAGTTCAAAATAGTAACTTATTTTGAAAAATTATCCTAAGTAGCGTTTCAATATAAACTCATTGAAATTTTTTTTTTTTTAAATCTTTATTAATTTTTAAAAAAAGGGCACCATCTACACTTCATTAATCAAAATCCTAATATATTAGTTTATCCTTTTATGTCTTTTTATAGTTATCAGCTAATTTAATAATTAATTTTATCAAACACTTTAATTGTAATTTATTAGCAAATTAACTATTAATTTTTCAGCTAGGCGTGTCTAATAGATCGAGCTAAGTATTACTCCGTAATATATACAATTTATATACTTTGATATTACATTAAAAGTATTATAAAACAAAAATTTAAATTTAAAAATAATTAAAAACTAATAACAAATTAAGAAAATTACATTTTTCGTCCATAAATTATAAGATAATTGTAGAACTTGTACCCTAAGTATTATATTAGTCGTGCTTACTTTTTACCCCTAAATTATTATTGCATTGCACTTTTCATCATTTTATTAATCATTTATGCTCACTTTTCGTTCCTAAACTATACTAAAGTTGTAAATTTTGTCTCTAATATTTTGTTAGCAAAGGGAAGAAATTAAAAGTGCAACGCAAATGATAATTTATAGACAGAAAATGAGCATGACAAACAATTAAGAACATATTCTACTATTATTATATAACTTAAGAACGAAAAGTATAATTTCTTTAAAAAAAAATTATAATATGACATATGAAATGAAAACCAATGAATATAATATGACTTACGCCAAGTCCAACGCCGCCAAGACCCAGCACAGCAACAGTTGAGTTATGGTCAATGTCGGCCAATTTCAGAGCCGCGCCATAGCCAGTGGTGAAGGAACAGCAGAGGAAGCTAGCATGGTGGAGAGGGAGGCGTGGGTCCACCTTGACAACATAGTTTTCGTCGAGTACGAGGTACTCCGACAGCGTGGAGCAGCTGACGTGGTGGTATATTCTCTGCTCGCCGCCATTGATGGACATTCTCGAGCTTCCATCCAAAAGCAACCCCGTGAAGCTGAGTGGGTATTTGAAACATAAATTTGACTTCCCAGAAATGCAGTTTGGGCATTCTCCGCATTCTCCTATGAAATGGGGCATCACTGTATCTCCTTCTTTAAGGCTTGTCACTTCTTCACCTACGCTTTCTATGATCCTGCACCCATAATATATATGTGAGTTAATGCCATATGAGACTAAGCATTCGTGTGTATAGTAATTTTGTCACATTTAGAATTGACCACCCATGATCTTTCAACTTTCAAAATGTAATCCGTCTTAGAAAAAGGACGACGGGTTAGAATTTTATATATAGTTGAAGGACTATTGATGGTTAATTTGGACTACGAATAATGGTAACAATTTGAAAGTCAAAAATACTGTACATGTGGTTAATTTGAAAGTTTAGAACTAAACCTTGACAAAATCACTATACTCGGATAACTCTAAATGAAATTAATTACATATTATATTATTATTTGCATTCACATTAGGTAGTGATTGTGAGTTTCTCTCTTCACCAAAAAATAAATAAATAATTTCTAGTAATACTTTCTCTATCTATTTTTTTTAATACTATTACAGGGCGTTTGGTTGGAAGGGGGAATTATGTGGGAAAGGAATTGTAATTCCATGGGAGTTGAATTACTGAGAATAAAGTGAGAATTTAAATTCCAGTGTTTGGTTGACAGGAATAGAATTACTGGAAATTTCAATTCCAATGTTTGGTATACATGGGAATTGAAAGGGAATAAGTAGTATAAAGTCAAAAATGTTCATTATTGTTGTTAGACATTAATTTTAGGTTAAAAAAGGAATGGGTAATTTTGACTCATCACTATCTTTTTTTTCCCAAGAATTAAAATCACAGGGAGAACATGGGATTTTAATTCCATGAAAATGAGGAAATTGCAATTCCATGGAATTGCAATTCCTTCCAACCAAATTACGGAATTTAATGGCCTTTGGAATTAAGTGGGAATTAAGTGAGAAGGGAATTTAAAATCCCTCCAACCAAACGCCATGTAAAAGTAAAACTTTTACACCAAAAAAGTTAATACTTTGCACAATTATTTAACTAGAATAAAAGTACGAAATTAGTACTAATTCAACTTGATAAATTAAAGAGAGGTTTACATACCCAACTCCTTCATGTCCAGGAATGCGAGGGAACAAAGGCTGGAGAAAAAAAAAATTGACCAAAATTTTTAAAATAAAAATCAATAATGGCTGTATATATTATATTATCAAACAGTAAAATCATTGGAATTAATATGAATAAATAAATTTTCGAATGTGATTTTCATAACATATAAAAGTTTTGAGTGTTTTTTTTTTGTTTTTTTTTTGCTTTTTTTTTTTTTTTTATTATAATCATAAGTCAAAATTGTTGGTATATTTTATATTCGATAATGTATTTTATCTTTATAACTTATACATTTGCCTAAACATATAATATAAATATATAATGCAACTTACCAAATATATGATATCATCAAATATCTTTTATGGAGTAAATAAATAAATATTTATCAAATTATTTTTTATAAACTGGCTTTTATATGTTTTTTCTTTGAAACAAACAACATAGTCTTCATTATCTTAAGGTATCAAAGCTAATAACTTCAAACAAGGAAACAAAATATTTGCCCTAGGCGGCTTTTAGTTGGTCGGCTAACTAACCGATCGATTAGACGCTCTAGGCATCGAGTTGGACGCCTAACTAGGTTGAGTGGTTTATTTTGCAGTTGACTAGTTTGAGAGATTATAACATTCTAACAACTTCCAACTCTGAGTAGAAAAAATAAAAACGATATACTCGTATTACTCAGCTGCCTAATCGCTCTAAACGCTAGGCGCCCAACTAACGTTTAGCGCCTTCTGCAACATTATTGCCTTCCAAGCTTCCAAAAAGGTATTTGCCTCTCCCAAAACAGCAGCCTGTGATGAGGATGTTTTAATTTGATTCCTAGACTAAAAAAAGATGCTAGAGAAAAGGAATTGGGTCTAGAAATCAAACTGAGACTTGTCACTTGAACAAGGAAGAGGCCGGGAAACTTGTATATGTGTTTTTACACTTATCATTTTAATTATTTAACAGTTAATTTTGCTAAACACTTTAATTTCAATCCATTAGCTTATTAGCTATTTATTTTTCATTTTTCAACCTTCAGCTTTCAACTATCTTTTCAGTTCGAAGTATGTGCCACAAAGAGAGCCTTAATGGAATTGTATAGTAACTCTAGCTTAACTACATTATATTGAATATTAAGGTCTTGTTTGGTAAAATAGTTAACATATCAGTCAATTTTGACTTATTTGATCACAATTAGCTGTTTGACTTGGTTGGACAATCAATATGAGTGTTAGATTAATTAGTTTTTTGTAACAAATTTTTTCTTCAAAAGACTAAAATTCAAAAAGCTACTAAAAGTAGCTTCTTCAATCAGCTTTTTAAGAAAGTTATTTTGTATGTAATCAACTAACAACTAATTTACCAAATACTTTTATACATCAGCTAATGTTATCAATTAGTTAAACCACTAATCCAATCAACTAACATCTATAATCTATCAGCTAGCAGTCATTTATCAAAAACCCTAAAATAAATAAAGCAATGAGTTGCATTGAAAATGCATGACGTAGATGGTTCTGCTTCACTAGATTCAACAAAGATTTTACCAAATCCTGATGTTATATGTTTCATTAATTAAGTCTTCAAAAAAAAAAATGTTTCATTAATTAATTGAAGAGAAATCTTAATAAAATCAATCGATGATAACGTGTGTATGTGTGTGTATATATATATATATATATATATATATATATATATATATATATATATATCACATCAAAAAATTTAGGCAAATTCTCCTATGAATCCGTGAGACGTGTCAATTTTTTTTTTTTTTTTTTATATAAGTATTACATTTTTCTTAAATAAATATTACAATTTTCATTATAAGTAACTCTTTAACTCTTAATATTACATTTTGATTTAAAAGTATTAAATTTTTATAAAAAATATTGCATCTTTCATCATAAGTATAATACTTTCTCTTATAAATAACAATTATTGAAACAATTTATTGATGATTAATATTACATTTTCCTAATAAGTAACTATTGAATTTTGCCAACTACTATAGTATGATACAGAGTAACACATTTGTTACCATTCCAAATGGGAGGTCACAAGATTAAACCCCGTTGGTAGGGTTTTGATTATTTGAACTAAAAATGATTGAGAACTACCTTGTAAAGAATTATGAGTGTTTCCAAAAAAAAAAAAATATATTCAATCCACATTTTGATTTAAAAGTATCACATAATTTTATATTTTATTATAATTCAATCCGTTTCACAAATAAAAATTTGTGGCACGATCTCATAGACTCAGAGTACACTCATATTCAAAAAAATTATGGTTTAGGAAGCTTATTCATTAGAGTTGTATTACATATATTTTCAAATTCTGCTCCATCATTTTTATTCTATAATGTGACAATCACGGACAAGATATTTTTATTACTCCATAATGTAAAAAATTGTGAGTAAGAAATATAGAGTTATGGAAAATAATGAACGTACACGTGGAAAGCCGTTGCAGCAGAGGATATCTGTCCCACACAAGCTGGCATAGAGCATCTTAATCCGAACCTCTCGAGCTTTGGGTGGGTCCACTTGTATCTCCTCCAACTTCAACGCCTCTCCTGATCTCCAAGCCACAGCAGCTGACAAACATCCATATATATACACGCACTCCTTCAATCTTTAATTACATGCTTCAATCAAATTTTAAGGAAACACAATGCCATGCCAAATAATAATTCCCTATATTAATACATTTTTATTTGAAAATTTCAACAAATATATGATAAATAAATAATATGCACTAATTAGGGCCAATATATTACTCGTTCTATCTCATTTTACTTATCATATTTACTATTTAGAGTTATTACCATCTAAGGTCCTCCGAGTATAGTGGTCTTGCAACGTTTAGTCCTAAACTTTTAAATTGACCATTTGTAGTCCTTTGACTTTCAAATTTAACCATTCGTGGTCCAAATTAACCACTTATGGTCCTCCAACTTTTAAAATTTAACCACCTATAGTCCTTTCAAGAGGACCACGGGTGGTTAAATTTTGATAGTTGAAGGATCATGGGTGGTTAACTTGGACCACGAATGGTTAAATTGGAAAGTCGAAGGACCATAAATGGTCAATTTGAAAGTTTAGGACTAAATGTGACAAAACCACTATACTCGGAGGACTCCATGTGGCATTAACTCTACTCTTTATTTATTTTTAATTATTTTTTGTTTGATATTACTTTTAATTTAGTTTCTCATGCACTATCAACTTGTCATATAAAGGTACAAAGAAAGTTTGACGAAGGCAAAGGACCGCTTATGCCAACCACCCCACACCACCACTCCACCACACTATACATCAAGTTGCCCCCACCCGGCCCCCATGTCATACCATACGTACATCACTGCCCTACATAAAAAAATATATTTTTAATATACTAAAAGTTAGTGTTGTAAAAATTTCGCCTAGGCACTAATTAATCGCCGCCTAGGCCTTATCACTAAAGTCGGCCGCCTAACGTATCACCATGATCTTCACACCCACAATAATTTGCCCCACACGACACACCCCTATCATGCCCATGCTAGGCTCACCAGCATGGCATGGGAGGTGGGTGTGGCGTGGCCAGCCCACTTACCCCACTCCGGCAAATTATTGTATGGACTATGGTCCACACAATGTTATGTGGACCATAACAAAAAATATATTTTTAATATATTGAATGTACATTATTTTTGTACTGAATGTACATTATACAATATAATGTACACTAAGAATAAAAATAATGTACATCCCCTGAATACAATGTACATTATTTTTGTTTTGAATGTATATTATTTTTGTACTGAATATACATTGTTTTACAGTAAACAAAATATGGTCCACACAACTTGTGTGGACCATAGTCCATACAATAATGATTGCCCCACTCCTAGTCACTTCATCGTCTCATACTTAAAACCCCACATTTTATTATATTATGCAAATTGATCACAATTCTCCAATACTCACCCCAACTATTACTCCAATTATCTTGGCCAACTTAATTATCCCCTTGTAATCTTTGGACTTTCCTCCCAGACCCATCAATTATATTAACCAATTTGTTAATATATATATATATATATATATATATATATATATATATATATATATATATATATATATATATATAAATTATCAGAGACTCAATTTTGTCTCACATTTAAAGGATGAGCGTGTAGAAGTGAAATATTAGAGAATTTTCATGCATGATTATGTTATTCTCGGAGTTAAAATAAGATACATTTTTATAAGGAGAAAATTACATTTTTCTAATTTTAATTTATAAGAATATATAATGTGTCAATAATGTTAAAATGGAGGGAGATATAGACATGACATATTTTTCTAATTTTAATTTATAAGAATACATAATGTGTCAATGTTAAAATGGAGGGAGATATAGACACGACATGGTAGTGTACATAACGTGGCAGCAATGATGTGACATTACTAAAACACCCCTGTTGAAGAAATAATTGTAAAATAGTGTTGGTATTTAGAAATTGAGATTTTAAAGCATACTTGTTTACAGAGAGAGAAAATAGCTCAATATGTTAAATAATAATCAATTTTAAAGAAGTGATGTTACACTCACCTCTTAATTTCATCACTTAATATTTATTATGTAACAAGGTTCAGGTTCTCGTGCAGTAGTGCAGTCACTCAGCATTAATTACACATAAATGCATCACAAATTAAAGTATTTAAAAATGTACAATTAGTTGTGGTGTGGTGTGATACATTTTTTGGTGTGTAGTGTAATTTGTGGTGTATTGATACATTTCATTGTGGTGCATGTTTACATATCTAATGATGAATCTGCACCGGTCGCACACGAAGCACTCTGCATTTGAACTAGTATCTATGTAACAATATATAATATTCTTTACATATATTTAAATAATAACTAGATTTTTTTAAGTCCCTTATTTTTTTTTTCTTCTCTGTCTCCTCCTCCTTCCAATTTATATTTCTCTCCCCATAATATGTCTATACTAAAAATAAAAAAAGTTTCAAAGACAAAAGAAATAATTGGAAGCTATGAGATATGAACTTATAATATGTATACTTTTTTTTTGAAAATAATTCAATTTGAAAATTGAATTACACAAAAGAAATAATTAGATTAAAGAGTTCTACAGGTCACATCCTATTTAAAAATTCAATTTGAAAAACCAAGAATTCTACGGGTCAAGCACATTTTATGAAAGCCAAAGACTAACTTTTAAGTAAAATATCATAAAAACATGACTATAATTGAAGAGAAAAAAACACAGAAAAAAATAGTGTTTAATTATATATATATTTTTTGTGCAAAACAATGTGCCTAAGAGCATCTCCAACAGTTGTAGTTTTTGAATAGTTTTTGCCGGTGTGAGTAGAAAAAAGAATATGAGAGGGGAGAGAAAAAAAAAAAAAAAGACTGAAAAAAAAACAGAAGCTATTACGCACCCAAGGACGAGTGCAGTGCATGCGCCCGCTGGGCCTGCAAGGTGCGTTGGAGGCGCGTTTCGACGCACCTTCCTTCCTCCACGCGGAACCCACCTTTCTGATAAAAACCAACTCCTTGTAGGATGATTTTTTTTACCCTCTCACCTCACCCTCTCTCCTCCATATCTTCTTGTTTTCTCAATAACCCCACCAAAAATCATTGGTGAGATGCTCTAAGGATCAAAACAAGCTGGTCAATGCATTAACTAACCAGGTTTTGCACAAAATAAGGAGATCCGAATCTACTAGTACCCCCAACAAGCTAAGTATTCTGAGACATCTGATCGAGAGATGACGAGCTAGGGCTCCTTGGAGCCACATCTAACGTGAGGACTAACTAATGGTCTTGGGTTTCCCACCCCGTATCGAAAATAATTAGAAAATTGAGAACACAGAATGCAAATTAAAGAAGGGATATGATTATATTATTACCTTTGCATGTTATGACACTTTGGCTGCCCATTCTGATATGAATGAATTGAAGCTAGCTTAGCTTAGGTTTCCAGCTTGCTTTATAAGTTGATGGAGAACAGTATATGTACAGTACCAAGTTGAGATGAGATGAGACCACACAGGCAGTGGTGTGCCCCATTGGCCATTACTATTCAATTATTCACCTTTTGGTCCTATCCTCGTGTAATGTTTCCAACCATACTTTAAGTGGGAGAAAGCTAAGTCTGCAGATCGAATTCTTCAAATATGAAAGAAATCTTTCACATGAATCACATTTCCTAAATTAAAAAAAAAAAAAAATGTGGTAAAAATTTAGGTGAGACCGTTTCACCGATCCTTGTCTATAAAACGGGTTGAGTCAGAATGAAATATAATACTTATACTAATTAGTAAATGTAATACTAAATCAGAAATAAAATGTTTATTACTTATATGAGAAAATGTAATATTTTTATATTTTGATTTTCATCAAAAGTACAATATTTTCCTTTATAAGTGTAACATTACTCATAAGGGAAAATATAATATAGTACTTTGGATGACAAAAAGTAATAATTTTACATTAAAATATAAAAGTATTATATTTATTCTCAAAAATATTTTGTTTTCCCTTATAAGTAACAAAATTTTATTCATAATTTAATATTATATTTCTTAGTATAAGTATTACATTTGTATATTGATCCAACCCGACTCAAGCTGCTCACATAAGTGTGATTTTAAAAATAAATAAGATATAAGATTAAAGATATTGACAAATGACAACCAATAAGAAGGCTTTCTTGAAAGTCCATTGTTTTATATACTAATATATAAAAGAAGCGTTCAAGAAACCTTTGTTTAAAAATAACAAACAAACAAAAAAAAAAAACAAAAAAAAAATCAAAATGACTATTATTCCTCACCCCTAACATTTCTCTTTAATATTACTAAATTAAAATGGTTCACTAAATTTAGAAAGTTAAATAGTCAAAACATCTTTACTGGTGGAAAACATTTCTACATAAGGCAATTCTAAAAAAAAAAATACAGTAAAAAATGAAAGGCAGCCTATGATTCTTTTGTTAATGAGTCACACTTGTGTGAAACTATCTCACGTATCTATCTTAAAACCCGTGAGACGGGTAAAATTTAGGATAGATAATTGCTTATTACTTAAGATAGAAATCTTAGTACTTATTACAGAAAATTTAATACCAATTTGAAATAAATAAATTGTTACTTAATATATATATATATATATATATATATATATATATATATATATATATATATATATATATATATATATTGTAATATTTATATGTGAAATTGTGATACTATTTTTGATAAAATAATTGTTATTAATGATAAATATTGTAATACTTATAATTGAAATTGGGAATAAGGTTCAAATTGGCCACTGATTGTAACCGAAAATGCAATTAGGCCACTGAACGAAAAAAAAGTGCAATTAGGCCATTGAACACTCAAAAAATGTGCAATTAGGCCACTGAACTCTCCAAACGTATGCAATTTTACCGGATAGCAGGTTACCATCAATTTTAGCAGGTTACCTGCTTACGTGGCAGCTTAGTTGGCATTTTTAATTAATTTTAATAATAAATTTTATAAAAAATTGGAAAAAATTAAATAAAAAATAAAATAAAGTCTTTTTTATTTTTTTAAAAATTTTTTTAATAAAAAGTTATTATTAAAATTTATTAAAAATTAATTAAAATTTATTAAAAATGCCAACTCAGCTGCCACGTAAGCAGATAACCTGCTAAAATTGAGGGTAACTTGCTATCAGGTGAAATTGCACATTTTTGGAGTGTTCAGTGGCCTAATTGCACTTTTTTTTCGTTCAGTGGCCTAATTGCATTTTCAGGTTACGTTCAGTGGCCAATTTGAACCTTATTCCTTGAAATTGAGATACTTACAAAGTATAATTTTAATGTAAATATTGTAATACTTATATGTGAAATGTTACTTATAAAAGAAATTGTAATACTTATTGTAGAAAATTTAGTACCAATTTGAATTAAAAATAAATCGTTACTCATGATAGATATTGTAATACTTATATCTAAAACTGTGATACTCTTTAAGGTACACTTGATTATTACTAATGATAAATATTGTAATACTTATAATTATGGATAACACTTGTGTGAGACCGTCTCACGAGTCCCAAATCTCAATATGTGATACGGGTTGGATCTTTGATTAATGGGTCAAAAATCCGACCCGCCTAACGGATTGAGACCCGTGAGACGGTCTCATACAAATTTTAGCCTATAATTAAAATTATGATACTTACACACCAATCGTTATGCCATGAAATCGTGTTCACCATGGATGGTGAACACGGTCTCAACAGTAACGGTGCACCATTATCTTTTTTTTTTTTTTAAATTAATCGCGCGACTTTTCTTTTTCATTTTCATATTTCGCGGTTTCACTTTCTCTTCGGAGTCTTCGCACAAGTTTCTTCAACATTCATAAATTATGAATGTGCAAGCATGGATTTATGAATGTGCAGTTATGAAATTATGAATTTTTTGTTATGAGATTATGAATTTACAGAAAATTCATAATTACATAACTGTAAATTCATAATCTCATAACAGAAAATTTATAATTTAATAAATGTTTTTCTTTTATACGATTATAAATTTTCTGTTATGAGATTATGAATTTACAGTACATTCATAATCTCATAACAGAAAATTCATAATCTGAACAAACGCGCACCGTTAACAACACATTAACTAAAAAAAAATTGTTTCCATAAAAACAAGGTTGCAAAACTCGGCCGCCTAGCCGCCTAGGCGCTAGGCGGCCGCCTGGGCGGCCACTAGGCGGCCAAACTCGGCCAACTCGGCCGAGTCGACCGATTTCGTCCGATTTTGACCGTTTTTGACCGATTTTGACCGATTTTGTTCGATTTTGACCGATGTCGTCTTTCATTAATTATTGATTTTAATATTATTATGACATTATGACTTATAAATTATCATTATTTCATTTATTTAGATGTGTTATTTGAGTGAACGTTGAAAACAACCTCATTAAAATTGTCGAACTACAAGTCTGTTACTATTTTTTTTAATTTTTTTAGTGCCCGCCTAGCGCCGCCTAGAATCCGCCTAGGCGCCGCCTAGACCGCCTAGGCGCTAGGCGCTGCCCGGCCGCCCGACTAGCGCCTAGCGCCTACTGCAACCATGCATAAAAATGACACCGTTTAGACCCGTATTCACCATTCATGGTGAACACGTTTTCAGGGCATAATTTGCACTTACACACCTACTTGACTACAACTCGACCCGTCTCACAGGCAAAGATATATAAGACGGTCTCACATAAATTTTTGTCTACCGATAATATTTAGCCGTTAATAGAAGGTGAGCACCGTTGAGCAGGTGGAGGACTGGAGGTCGTCTGCTTGCCAAAATAATTGTTGTTGTTGTTGTTTTTTTTTTTTTGAATATTTGTTGTTGTTATTAATTAAGCTTTGTAATTAGCACTTTGACCGGTGCATTGAGTAGTAAAGCATTGTTATACACTTTGATTAAGCTTAAGATTAGTGCTAATTATTCACCTTTCATGAAGGTGGAAATGAGCACCTTAACTTACGAAAGGTGCCATTTGAGCAGCACCTTTCGGATGGTGCTGCAAGCTTTCCTTCTTCTGAAAAGGTGAACCCCTAGACCTTTGCTTGCTCAGCTCCCACACATGATCAACTGAGTTGTTCATGCGGACCAAAGAAATTTTTAAATTTATTGTTCACGGTGGGACCCGAATCCACAATCTCCCGCTCCGGAGGCGAGCACCTTATCCATTAGGCCACACGAACATCTTTGTTGCAAGCTTTCGTAAATGCATCTTTCGGTGCTTAACGAAATACTTATTTTTTGAATCGTACAAACTTCTGGACGACTCAAGTGTTTTTGGAATCGATTATTACTTATTGGTAAGAACTAATTGTATTTAATTTCGTAACCGCAAATATTATTATATATAACTAGTATTTACACCGGTGCAATGCACGGACTGTATTTGTTATAATATATTAATAATAATTACATGGATATTTAATAGTGTAAATTATACGAGTGAATATTGTAAATATCCTTGGCCCTTGGGATACCTGCTACCAAAGATGTAGGCAAGTACCCGGGTGTTAACTCTCTACATGGTAGGCTCAAAAAGGAGTACTAGATACTCAATGATTACAGCCCATGTGTCTTCACCAGATCATAGAGCTTGGAACAACTTATGGAAATTGAAGGTTCCAAGCCGTATTCACACGTATCTTTGGTTAGCGAAACAAGAAAGACGACGGGTAACCACATTTACATCACTAATAATTAGGGGAGGGACAATATATGTCACGTTTTGAAAATTGAAGGGCAATATTTACACCACTAATAATCAGGGATAACATTGATAATTGGCCTATTTGTGAGGGACATAAATTACAATTTTCCCTTAAAGTTATAACCGAAATTATAACAATATTCATTTATATATTTTTAGGGCAAGTTATATATAAAGGAGTTTATTCCACTTTTGATCCTTGGACTTATGTTGAATTATCTTGGTTTATAATTTTGAGCCTAATCAATATAAGGTTTGTCTTCTTTTAATATGATTTGTAATGCTCATACACTAAAATAAAAATTGGCATCTCTATATGGAAAGCTTTGAAGCAAAACCTAACTCTTGTTTATCTTATAGACATGAGCCAAGGGCTACTGATTTGTAAGCCAACACGTTTCGTATTTGCAGTTACTATTAAACAAAAATTGCTTAAATAAAATGATTGAGTCACATAGCTAACTCTAGAGAAGATATAACAATTTTAATCTGACTCACTCAAATATATTTTAAAAATCACTTCACATATTAATAAAGTTTGCAACTTTTTTTTTTAGGAGAGCGACCCAAAAACAAACTATGGGCTGCCCTTTTGGGGTGTCATCATTCCTTTATCATTCTCGAGAATGACTCGATCCAATCACAATTTTTGCGAGGTGCAACCTTAGCCAACCAGTCTGCCACTTCATTGGTCTCTCGGGGAATATGATTAATCATTACTTGTCAATCCTTGATAAGCCATTCCTTACATGCTTGCACGATGCTGACACACGACACTATCGACCCGAGTCCTTTAGTAAGCAGTCCACCACTTGTTGAAAATCGCTGAAGACATAAATTTTCCTCTTCCCTGTAGCCCAAACCCATTTGAGACCAACATAGATCGCCCAAAGCTCTCATTCCGTGATTGGTCTTGGTGGTGCAATTGAAGCCTCCAGTCCAATCTTAGAAAAGTTAATATTACTTTCAGTTCTTTAATTATTATAATATTTCACTTTTTGTCATTACATATTAATTTAACAAAAATTTGTCTTTCAACAAAAGTCAATAAAATTCAATTCAAAATGCCCACTTACAAAATGATAAATGTCTGAATACTTTGATGATATTTAGACATTTTTTACTAGATTTGGTTTATTCAAGAAGTGAAAATTAAAGAAAGAACTAAAAACCTAAATGCAATCAATTAAAACAAAAATGATATTAATTCATCAAAGAATAAAGAACTTATGAAAAGGAATCCATATGAAGCTCTACTACTTCAATGAAGAACACATAAGCTTGTTGTATGAAATCTCTTTGTATTTTTGTTCAAGTTTCAGCTTCATTTCCTTCAAATGATACATTCATAAGATCTGGTACAAATGCTTATTTCAATGAAGACTTAATGCAGTAACACTCCACAATCAAGCAAATCCTCCCATAACCCTTTCTTCAACACAAAGCAATGCCAAAAGAAAAAATATATAATATATATTATATGTTTTCAACCAAGAGAGAGATGTAGGGCTAAGGTGTGGACTACACCTTTTCCAGTCTTTTAGTTATATCAGACTAGAAAAAGCAACAATCGCATTTTGTTTATACTATATTATGATACTCGATAATCTCAAATATTACGATTATAACTAACGAGGATATACAATCTGAATGACATATCAAATGCCAAACTCTGGGTGATATCGTGTGTTGCAAATTAAAGGCAGTTAGACCTCAAAACCCAGAAGGTTTGCAGCACCAACATCCTGTGGAAGAACACTTGAAAATCGCCAACTGGTTGGCGTAGATGTGCTTTAAGCCATTTAATGCCATGTCCGTAAACAGCCATTGCCTTCGGGTGCCTAACTGGTACGTGATGCAACCTAAAACACGGAGCTGGCATGCAAATTGGCAGTTGCTTCTGTAAGTGAACCCAAAAGGGTCTCCCCAACCTCAGCTTTGCAGAGTGGACAAGTGTTATTGATCTTCAGCCATTTATCTACGCAATCCTTGTGAAAGAAATGAGAACAGGGCAATTCCCTGAGCTCGTCATTGTTCACATACTTTGCTAAGCAAATGCAGCAGACCTATAAAATCAACATAATAGGTTACTTGCAAGGTCCACTTAAGGGCACGAGTTAAAAAGGCAAAATTCGTAGTTTCCATATAAATCAGCCTTTACATCTAAAGCTTGTACAGTCAGAACTTTGTTGCATGCAATTTCTCAAGATCAGCAAAAGCAGACTTGACATCAACTAAAAATTTTGAAAATATTTGGCAGATCCAACAAAGACAGTTCGTTCTAACTAAATTGATTCAGAACCCAAGCCTTACAAAATGATTTTGAAGTTTGGACATCATCATACAGTCAATCATCAGAAAATTTCAAAACTCAAACACAGAAAGATGTTCAGTATGAAGACAATGTTTGAACCTCTAAAGGAAGCTTTGTTACCCCCAAGGAAGCAAAGTATCTATGCACATATTTCTTACCGAAATGTTCAAGACAGTATAAAATTGCTTCTGCAGCTTTGGCAAAGCAGAACAGGTTTTTACTACTACAAAAGGGAACCATATTTAAAAGCCTTCAAAATTAATCCATTGGTGGAATAATTTCAAATAAACTTAAGCTTTTCAACAAAACAAAAACCACTGTCATCTTCCACCCACCACTATGGAGCTTATACATCTATTTAGGTAGTTATTAGCTGTTTTGCATAAGAAGCCTGTTTTATTAATTGCATTTCAGGCACTCGCAAGAGTGAATAGGAAGAGATTTGGATGGAAACAGAAGCATTTAGTGAACTAAAAGAAGGATTTAAATAATTTTTCATTACCATACATCTGTCAGCAAAATCTAGCACCACCATGAGACCCCAGAATTGAGATCTTGAAGGTTTGGATGAAATAACAGGATTAACATGAGTGACAAATAATAAACAGGGCCATTCAACCTTCAAGACCATTCAGAAGAGCTAAAGGTGTTTATAATATAATTAGAATAAGTTTCTAATAGTTGAGCACAGTTCTAGATAAATTGGGAAGGTAAAAAATTTAAGCTGTAATTAGAAAAGGGTAAATATTGGGTGATAACCTTTTAATCTATACTTTCAGCCATTTTAAACTTACCAAACTAAGGTTAATGGTCAGCGACCTATATCTTAAAAATGGTAACAAATCACAATCCATAAACTTTTCAGTCAAATATAACTATCATGTGTATTTAACATGCCTTCATTAAATGTAATATTCACAAATTTTAATAAAAATACTTTTACTTAGTGCAATCCAAAATTTCAATCAAATGATTCAAATCACAATTACTAAATAATCATTAAAAAATTTTATAACAAGTATTAATTGTGATTGTCAAAAGCAAATATTTGTTATGGAGTAATACACCAATTTTAATTAACCCTAATGCCCTAAATTTTTAAAGTTCATTAAATTTAATGCCTTAATTTTGTTAAGTTCATAAAAATTGCTATGCTATATAAGTTGTGGAGTCATACACAAACTAATTCATATTTAATAAAGTAGATGTTTGGGCAAGGCCTGTTGGTCTACATATATTCTAAGGAGAAGAAGAATAAATCTTCAGATGCAACAACATGATTTTTGGCTATGATAATTTGTTTTTTATAATGTAATTCACGATTACAAGTGTTGAATTTGAAATTTTGGAGAGTTTGGTTCAATAACGGGATCAAAATCAAATACTTATTAATAGGAATGAGTTTTTAGTAAAAGTAGTGTTATTGTTTGGTTATTTATAATATGGAATTGGAATTTAAAAAATAAAGGTTAAATTAAAATAATAAACCAATTGCTTGCTGTCACCCTCATCTTCTTCAACTTCGTGTCTTAACCTTCTCTCTCATCCTTATCTCTCCTGTTTCTCTCTCACCTGCATCTACAAATTGGTTTTCTACAAATCTGTCACCATGCCACAGTGATTTCTACAGTTCTCCTCGACAATCCAACACCATGCGTGCGTCACAGCTGCCACCTCCAAATCAGGGCAATTGAAATGACCCACTCAATTTCTACTGATTCACTTCAAATATGCTCATTGCCAATTGCCACTTTGTCCCCAACCATGACAAATGAGCAAGCTCAACCTCGTTTCCGACCATGACGAAGGAAAGGAAAAGGAAAAAATAAAAAATAAAAAATAAAAAAAAAGGAAGAAGGGGAAAAAAAGAAGTGGAATGAAATCAAAACCTTGGCCATTGTCCAGATTTGAATCAGTAGGATTTAGCTATATTTGGTTCTGATTGAAGATCATTGAGATAGCAAACAAAACATCAACAATGAGAATGATTACAATTCTAGACCTCAGAAGTTATGAACCAAGTCCCCCGTAGGCCGTAAATATGTTTTTAATGCCTAACATACCCTTAATAAAAATAGGATAACTGTACATAATAGTTATATTTAACAAAACATAAAAAATAAACCTAACACTACATCCAAAAGACTAGACATTTTCCTCTAACAAGAAATTCCTGTCCAACTCATTGCAATAAGGATACATGTATACTTATGGTGCTGATTGAATAAAGTAAGAAACTAAGAATAAATGATTATGTCTGGCATGCTTTAGTCCAGGGTGCTGTATAATTGTTTAGATATAGCCATCTGCAAAATCTGTAATAGCAACAGGATTTACCCATTGCAAGATATTGCTACTGCTTATATAACAGAAACTGCATCTTGGTTTTTACTTGTACATTTAGTTTAGTAAAATCCTTTATTCTTTTCAAGCATAAGTTGTTGTACCACCACCAGCAAATTATATCCAAAGACCACAAACAAGAAATTCCACCCTGAAATTAAATGAGTCCACTTCTTCTCAAATGGCAATTGTTTGGTGAAAAGGGGGAAAGGATGCATCTAGAATTCTAGAGCAGAGTCCGCCACATCTTAGAAAGAATTTGGTACGCCCGTAGTGCATTCCATCATGTGTCAATACCCACTCCCCAGGTCCCCCAAAAAGAAAATAAGAAAGAAAAAGGAGAAAATTTAATCCTAAGTAAATAATTCAGTTATCCACTAGGGCCTTAAATGATAGATTCAGAACTCCTATAAGATGCAATTAGAGGTTTCATAAGCATTAGTGCATTACAAACTGAGCTTTTTAGAAGTCTAATTGCAAATCAAATCCCAGAGAGAAGAGATGTTGATCTCACAGACTAGAACTTAATAACACCACTGGAGTACTGCATTGTCCTAGGTATTTAAAGAAAGTGATATTCTTAAATGGATGAAGAAAATGAAGTAAACAATTACTGCTTTCAAAATGGGGAAACAAAACAAACCCCCAAAAAAAAACCCAAAAAAAAAAAAAAAAACAAAACAAAAAAACAAAAAGAATCACTGCTTTATTCTCTATTTCTTTTTGGGGAGGGGGCACTAGGGATCAGGTGTGTGTCACATTGTTATATTTTCTTTTAATGGAAAGTATGTGCCAATATTTCAACAAAAGACCAATAGGGGGAATAGGGCAGGATATAAATCTTACCGCATCTTCACCAGATATCATGCGCTCCTTTTCTGTTCCTGCTGCTACTATCCCACCTTCACTTGCAGCTCCTCCATTATCTTTGCTTTTGTTTTTCTTTACCTTGAATTTATAGGTAGGCAGAGAATTGATTGATTCTGGTGTGGCTCCTCTGTTTTGTGACAGATCTTCTCTGAAGCCTAGGATAGAAATTATGCAAGGGAGGCAGCAACAGATTGTTGCACACAGAATAAATGGCATTGCATAGCCAATGCAGCTAAACGTTAGAAACACTATGCACAACCTGCAGATGGTAGATGCATAAATGAATTGTCAGCTCAGTTCATAAAAATAAATCACTTTTATGAAAAATAAGTAAACATCAAGAAGTTAGTACCTGTACATGTTGGGAGCCTCAGAAGAGGAAGAATGCCCTCCAAATATCCACACATTGCCCACCACAAACCACACAGCAAAAAAGCAATCCAGAGCCATTTTGAAGTATTCAACAAGTGCCTTTAGCCTGCAAGTGAAGAAACAGCCCATGATAAAGAATTCACGGATGAAGAATGGATTTGTGTAACATAAATTAACAAGAACATATTAATTGTAGACTCCTGAATAGCCCCAAAAAAAACATGAAATGCAGATCCAATTTAGAAGTCTGGTGAAGACAACATTGAAAGACTTACCTTGAAGAGGAAAACAGAGTTCCTATGAACTTGAAAAAGAAAAAGTAATCCACAACAATAAAAGAACCATTATAAGCTACTTGACTTTAGAAGATGAAAATCAGAAATCAGATTTCCCCAATAACTACCTTGTTTTGCTTATACAATACCAATTACCACATAATAACAATTACTGATCACATAAAAACAGTGATATAAGCATTATTTGCTGCTACCATACAATGTCAGGAGACAAGGAGAAAAGGGAATGGAGGGCTTAGAGATGCATGTAACAGTCTAACAGATTATGACAAGCATTGTCCTTCTGTCATACCTTGCATTTGGTAATCCACCACTCTGACCCCATCTAGAGGATGTAGCAGTTGTTCTCCGACCTTCACCTTCTGAAGTCCTGGAACTTGAAGGAGGTCCAGCTGAAAGATCACCACGGGAAGAATTCTGTTGCTGCTGAGAATCCTGTTCAGAACTCTGATTTCTGTAACGATAGCGCCAATAAAGAAGAGGAAGGATAACTACACATCCAGATGCATAACCGACAATCCAAGCAAACAGTGGAGTTCGTGGGTGCTCATGCCTTGATAATGACAAAACAACAATAGCTGCAATAATTTGGCTCACTGTTAAAACCAATTCTACAGAAATCCAAAGCCCAGAATTCAAAGGACTTCTATGGCGACTACGTCCATTTCCTCTTCGAACAAAAGATGAGTTCCTTGTGTTTGATCCAGTAGTAGAAGAAAAAGCACGTTGATAAACAGGTATTGTCACACTAGTTGAAGGCTGATCCTCAGTTTGTTGGTGCTGGAAATCATTTACCGAACGATCATGTGATATGCCCGAGGATGATGCTTCACTGCTGCTTGTAATATCAATTGTGTGCTCACTATTGCTATGATTCTCTGGTCGCTCCATTAACAAGACGATTTTGTAAGTTTGAGCTTACGTCCTAGAAAGGAAATAATCAGCTAAACCCACCAACCGAAAAGTAGTAGTGGAAACGTAGGATGGTAGAATGTCAAACAGTAATAACTCTCACTTCAACCAGAACTGTGATACTTAATCACTTCTCCTCTGAAATCAGCTCCCATTTCTGCATTGACCATCAAACATGATGAAATTAGAACTATTAAAGGAATACTCACTTAACATAGCCAATTTGAAGTCAAGATGATTTTCTACAGATGAACTATAACAATTCATTAAACAACAAAATATGTACTTTTGCAGGTTAAAGTAACCCCAGACCACAGATATAGGGAAAGCCCAAGCAATCAAGCACCATTGCACATGCCATGCCTCCCAAATACTCCATAATAGATGCAGATATTCTTGATTTCAAAGCAGGAACAAACATTAGGAATTAGCACCAAAAGAGAGCCCCAATTCGATCACACTACTGGAATTACTCATAAACAACAAGGACCCAATTACAGAAACTAATTATAAAAGCCCTAAAATCCCAGCAAGAACACAGTCCAGCACAATAAGCGTATTACTTCACCCATTCTCTCTCCCTCTCATATAAACAATACCCTAACGCAAATTCATGGTTCCAATCCAACCACAGGCAGTTGACCATCTTTAAGAACCGATTCCTCAGTAAAACCCAACCAAAAATGGGGAAAACCCACAATTCTTCTACATATTCAGCAGTAAATTCAAAAAACCGAGTTCTAGGGGGAATAATTCCATCAGCATCAGAAAGAACACAACTCAAATCATAGAACACAGCAATTGCTACTCGACCTATCAGACAGTCCATAAAATTCAACACAGCTGCACAGCAAAGTGGACCACATAGATACAGAGAAGAGATGAAGAGAGAGAGAAAGAGGGGCAGTACTGACCAGTAAACAGTGAGCGTTAAAGCTAAGAGCAACTCAAGGGAAAATACGGGGAAGAAGAAGAAATCAGCATCAGAGGAAGTTTCGATGAAAAGAAAGGATAAATTTTCGTGAGATTCACCGCGTGTATTAGCATAGAGATAGAACTATAGAAGAGCATAAATATAAATAAATAATATAAATCTTTGTACACAGATTTTTAGATTTATGTATACATATAATATAACATAGATATAGATATCCCTATATATTACATCACTAATACTGAATAATACTGGTGTTTGAAGTCCTTGTCTCTTTGTGCACCTCCGCATTGCTTAGCGGTGTGATAAAATAATTTCTTTCTTTTTCTTTTTCTTTTATTGAAAATAATTTCTGAGTCCAGTCAGTAAAATGACAAAAACGATAATCATCCTGCATCATGCATCATGAACTATTCTCGATTATTCATGCCGCACCATGATCTTTAATAAGTGATATTTAGATCCATAAATCTTTTTTTTTTCGTCTATAACTTTTTATAGGTTTCCTACAGGTTACCGGTAATCTCATGCTGACATGGAAGTTTTTATTATTTTATTTTATTTTTGCGTCCCCTACCTAGAACTTGCAGGTATGATGACGAGTTGATCTGGTCTCTTGAAGGCACGGGTAAGTTCTCAATCCCCCCGGCTTATAATCTAACGGCGAGCCTTGTAGGTACGAATTTTAATCAGACTTGGGAAAGGCTCTAGAAGCTAAAATTTTCAGCAAAATTAGTGTCTTATTATGAATTGTTCGGCATGGTCGGATCATGACCAACCTCGAACGAAGGCGTCGAGGGTTTGTCAAGTACAACCACTACCACATTTGTCGAGACACCACCGAAACGATCAACCATATCTTTAGGAGATGTCCTTGAGTGATGGAAGTTTGGAGAAGCTTAGCTGACACTTTAGAGTAGTGATAAAGAGTGGAACATGGATTTTTCAACCTGGCATGACAAAGGAATCAAAGGTAACGGTGTGTGCAGGAACGCCGATAATGGCCCAACCCTATTCGCGAGGGCCATTTGGTGGATTTGGAGGTGGAGAAAGGATGCCATCTTCAGGGAATCAACGACCACGCTCCCTAAAGGAAGTTGGATTATAGTTCAAGCTGTAGAAGTTTGCATGGCTTTTCAAAAGAGAAAGTACCCGGATAATAGTGCTAACAACAGCCCATGGGGTTAGGTGGTCTAAGCCCACGCCTGGCTGGCTGAAGCTTAATTCTGACGGTAGCAGAAACCCACAAACAATCAGATTGGAGAAGCTTTAGGACTGTCCACAAACTGGGAAGATTGGTTGTGGAGGAGTGCTCCGTGATGACAAAGGGGACTGAATCTGGGGCTACAAATGCCAGATTGGAGAAGGATCTGTCATGGAAGTTGAGGCATGGGGCATCCTAAATGGTCTGAAGCTTGCATGGGATCGTGGACATAGAAAAGTGCTTGTAGAATGTGACGCCAAAAGGATTGTAGATTGGATTACGGTTAATGACGGCCATGAGTTACCAAATGGGAATCTGAGCACCATTATTGGCAAATGCAGAAGGTTGATGAGGAAAAACTGGGATGTGCGGATAGGCCATGTGTTCCGCAAGCAAAATGTTGTGGCTGATTGTTTGGCGAAGAAGGCATTTGATGGTAACCGGGGCCTGTGTTTTTTGGACAGTCCGGAGGCTGAGATCGCTGCGTTGCTTGTGGAAGACTCCATGGGTGTTCCCCAACGGCGTGATTTTAGTTGAGTGTTCTTGTTGGGGTTCCCCCTCCCGCATATTTAAAAAAAAATGGAGTAGTTTTTTCTTTTAAATTAAAAATGCTTACATGGATTGAGAAATAAGGCCAGGTCAGCTTATTACTGTGCCATGTCATCAGCATTACCGAAAAACCTATAAAAAGTTATAGACGAAAAAAAATAATGGTTTATGGATCTAAATATCACTTATTAAAGATCATGGTGCGGCATGAATAATCATGAATGGTTCATGATGTGGGATAACACTTTAACCTAACTTCTTTATACATTTGTGTGTATATATATACTAGTTTACCTTGCGCATTGCGCGAATGTGATAGTGTCCCATGTTTATTTTTAAATAAGTACTTCAAAGTATATTAATGCAAGATTATATATGAGATGTTTATGCATATGTAATTGAATGTTGAATTTGTTTATTTAAATTAGTAATTCAAAGTATATAAATGTAAGATAATATATGAGAGATTGATTATAATTGTCACTAAAATAAATGTTTGCAACTTTGTAATAACGCTAGTCTAAACACTTAGTCTAAAAATGATAGTCTAAAAATACTACTTTTGAGTTAAATTTCTCTAAGTCTTCTTAATTCTCTTTTGGATAACATTGTCATTGTCTTCATCTTCAGTACTTGTCCTCTTCTTTTTTATTAGTAGTGTGTCATGTGTAATTGGGCTACTGGTGGTAGCATAGAGGGCAGCGTCATGCAATGAGATTATGTTGGAGGAAGTTTTAGATTTGCCTTGTTGTGTATATGACTGGGATCTTAGTTGTACTATGAATTCTTTATCTTGCAAGCGTCTGTTGATATTTGGCAGTGGTACTTTTTCCCCTACATGTTTCATGTGTTGTGAGATGTGTGTCGTAGATTATCATATAAAAGTATTGAATAAAATATGAATATTTATTATATTTTTATAAAATACTTGGTAAATAAATATATAACATAGTTTGTATTATAATTATGATATTTAATACAAGATAGTGTAAAAAGAAGACAATGGACAATGTAGTGAATATAATTAATTAATTAATTTGAAGGTAGGGAATCTTTGAAGGAGAAAATAAAGATAATATAACTAATGGAAATTATATCTCTTTTTAATTTGTTTATAATGGATAAAAAATTTGTGAATAAAGGCATTATAGACATCTAATTCTAAATTAATTAAATGCAAATGTATTATTTTTTTTATTGTAGCTACTCATTTATATAATTTATTTAATGAGAGTAATAAAGTGGGGTACTTACTTTTCGTCCCCAACAATTAAGTCATTGATTTTTACAAACACGCGTGATGTGCGAAATTTAACGAGAACACGCGTTAATTTTATAATTATTACAGACTTTCAAGTTTCAATATTTATTAAAAGAACTTCACCTTTTTCCATTTATTTTTCAATAATCTTCAATCGTTGATCTACATAGATTAGATCAAATCAATCTTCACTTTTTATAAATATTGAAATTTGAAAGTTTGTAATAATTATGAAATTGACCTCGTGTTTTTTTTTTTTACTAAACTCGCAACCATTGATGAACATTAATGTATTGTAAATCATCACTTTTTACAAGAAGATCATATTCTCATTTTGTCATGTCCCTTTATATATATATATATATATATATATGAGGGTTCCTACGAGAACATCTATTTAGGTGAGATTGTGTGACCAAATTTTGTACATAAATCTAATCAATTTTAATGGTCTGGATCAATCGCGTTCGCACACACTAGCTTAATCTTGTTTGCACACTTTTAATCACATTCGCACACATTTAATCTATATTAATTTGGACCATTAAATTTATTTTATTGATGCACAAGATTTGATCTCACAATGTCACTTAGACCAATCTTGATCAATCGCATTTACACACACTTAATCGTGTTCGCACACATTTAAACACACCTGAGGGGGTCTACTTCTACAAAGTCATGGCCTTTGAGCTCAAGAACTCGGGGGCCACATATATTCGAATGGTGGCCAAGGTGTTCAAGCAGGTCATCGACTGCAACATAGAGGGATTGGAGGCGCCTACGTAGATGACATGATAGTCAAGAGCCCCGAAGCCGACCCCCACGTGGATGACCTAACTGAGGTATTTTCAGTTATGAAGTATTTTAGTTTGAGATTGATCCCCAAGAAGTGCACCTTTGGGGTACACGGGGGTGAATTCTTGGGGTACATGGTCTCGAAGAAGGGCATAGAGCCCAACCCCGACAAGGTCATGGCCATCCTGGATATGGAACCTCCGAGGTCCCCCCGGGAGGTCCAACGCCTAAATGGTCGGCTAGCAGCCCTAGGCCGGTTTCTATCGAGGTCGACCGAGAGGTCCTTACCTTTCTTCTAGGTGCTCAAGAAAACTAAGGGGTTCGCATGGTCCCAAGAGTGCCAAAAAGCTTTTGAAGACCTCAAGGCGTACCTGATGTCACTCCCCCCATGGCTAAACACGTCAAGGGAGAGGTCTTATACCTTTAGATTGGTATCTCGCAGGCCGCGGTCAGCTTCGTGCTGGTCCGAGATGACGAGGGGGTCCAACGGCCCGTCTACTATGTAAGTCGAGCCATACGGGGAGCTGAGATAAGGTACTCAGCTACCGAGAAGGCCATATTCGCAGTTGATGCTATAGCCAAGAAGCTCAGCCACTATTTCTAGGCCCACCTCGTACATGTCCTCACCAATCAGCCCCTGGACTCGGTGTTGAGGGCCTCGGGGTCGGCCAGTAGGTTAGTCAGGTGGTCCATGCGCCTAAGCCAGTTCGACATCCACTTCAAGCTAAGATCGGTTATCAAGGGGCAAGCTCTGGTTGATTTTATAGTCAAGTGCACCGCTCGGGAGGCCACTGAGTAAGCTCGAGATGAGGAAGAGGAGTGGTGGACCCTCCTAACATACGGGTCCTCGAGCACCAAGGGATGCGGTGGAGGGGGGGGGGGGGTTTCGTCTTCATAACCCCCTAGGGGTTCCGAGCCTACTACGCACTCTGAGAAGCTCAAGATCCAGTGTGACTCCAGACTCGTGGTAGGGCAGGTCATGGGTGAATTTGAAGCCAATGAAGAGAGGATGAAGATATACTAGGACGTGGTACTATGGTTGCTAGGGCAACTGATCAATTATGAAGTTTTGTAGGTACCCCGGAATCATATCTCCAGGATAGCCCGCGTGGAAGACCTCAAGAGGTCAAGTTTGGAGGCCTACCCGATACTCCCCG